CTTCGTTTTTTCTGTAATGATTAATTTTGTCCGAAGAGGGTTCGGAGAATGAATATCAGGGGCCTGCAATTTTGATGGTTTATTCTTTGGTTTCAGCTTTGGTGAAGGGTTTTAATTTGGTTATAGTGAATAGTAGCTTGCAGTCACAAGCACATTATGAGTTTTGCAGAGGTTTATTGTACAATGCTGCCCAAGTGTTTGACAATTTGTTAAGATATGCAAATAAGTCATTTGTATCAGTATCAAAGAACCATGGTTATGTGGTTGAGTCCTACAACTTTCCCTTTTCCAGATTTTTTAAAACAAATTTAATACCAAATTGTATAGAAAAATATGTTATTTTTTTAGATGATATAATTTCAACAAATTATATATGTGAAGATTCCCTGTTAATTTATTTATTTCCGTAGCATAGCTTACACAATATTTGCGCTAGGTAGAGATATAGCTGTCCATGTACCCCAGCTATTTTACGCTTGGCAAGTAGCTGTCAAAATACAGAGCAAAATGATGCTACATTTTTTCGTAATGTTCATGCCTTAATGAGCTACTGTGTTTTCAACTGTCATGACATACTCAGATAGATGATAAAATGCATTTGTGATGCCACTCAGTTTCGTGCTGCTTTTATTACATCCTAACAGAAGTTGTTAACGTTCACGGGATTTATGGCTGCACCAGGAATATATAACATTTAATTTTCGACTGACATTTGGCACGGACTGTGTTTCTTAATATTTTAAACTTGCCTTAATCGAAGAGAAATGGATTTTAGTTCATTATGACAACATGATTATGAGATTCCTATCTTTGATTGGTCCCTTTAGAGGACTTGAATTGTGTTTAGTGATATGGAAGAAAAAAAGTTGGGAATCCAGAAAATGATGTTCCGTAAGGGAAGGCAAATGTAAAATGTAACTGGAAGCAAATTAATCATGAATAGTTATATGTGCAGGTCTACAGGAAGCAAATTAATCATGAATAGTCCTACATCTTTCCCTTTTCCAGATTTTTTTAAACAAATTTAATACCAAATTGTATAAAAAAATATGTTCTTTTTGTGAATTATATAATTTCAACAAATTTATCTGTAGTGCTTATTATGTGATCATCATCTGATTTTCTGTCACCTATCTAACCAGTTGATCAGAATTCATTCAAGAAACTCACAGCTTGGATGGAGCCGTCAAAAGGTATGCATTTGTTGCATTTGTTTGCCTCTTGAGCCATAGTGATTCTAGTAAATGAAGACTAGATTTCATATGATTTATCTCAGTTGTGGATGAACTGGAATCAATAAACTCTTTTTCATCATGTTAAGTATTTTTTTTTCCAGATTTTACGAATATAGGATTTCACTATCTTTAACAACTTACAAGGTGGATGAGGGAGCATAATTTCTACAGGGCCTGATAAATTGGTAATTACCAGATTGAGTATTATATAACTTTGTTGAGCAGGCACAAGATTAGGAGCAGTGAATATGCAATAAATTAATCTAACACTTAAATGATTTTTCAGCAATTAAAAATTTAAAACCGAAGACCCCGTAGTTTATGAGTTCACCATAACTAGTCAGATATCAATAGTTAATTATATCATGCTTGCTTTACGCACCTAGCTGATAGTTAAGAATTCATAAAATTATTCAATAGTTTCTTCCAAGTTTCAATGAAACATTCACAAATTAAAGGTCCAAATATGTTTCTCCACATGACATTTATGATCTTAATCAAACTACACCAGCTATCAAATCATGCTTTCTGCACGTGGAAACAAGCAGATAATGTTCTTACAGATCCATATAATTATCAAGTTGTTTGACTTTGACAGGTATCACAAATTTGATATATTAAAATCTAGATAAAAAAAAAAAAAGAAAAAATTGAAAAAATGTTTTGAAAATTTTGGAGATGAATTCCCAATCTTGATTCTCCAAGCTGTTTCTTATTTGTCGCGTTCTCTTGTAAATCTGAAATCATATTCGCGAGTAATGTTGTATTTTATGTTCTTCCATGAAGGGAGTTTCCTGATCCAATTTGTGAAATATGTTCTCTTAGTCTTATTATCACGTGATGTTATTTCCACTTCCATTGAAAATTAAGCTCATGCTAACGTTCTCATGCGTATATGACCTCATTCCATTTTCCGGAATCTAAGTATCTACTCTAGAAAAATAAGTGGGCACTGAGAATGCTAATTTTTGTGTTTTGTGGTTAAGATGTTACTAAATCAGTAACATGTCATTTATTTTTAGTGGCAGTTCTATTTTACATGAAACTTTATATGAGTGAACGATTTTCAATTTCAGGTCTTCCATCTGATCATTGGATCCTCAAATTTTGGTGAGCTTTTACTAGCTTTCACTTTCAGAACATTTCATTTTACTAAGTCTTTCAGTTGACATCACTTGTAAAGGCACTGAGTATGGTTGGTGATTGAGCTCTGCCATCGATAGTAAAAATTTAGAACTCATTTGCAGTAATCCTTTTAATATAGTAACAAATTTCATCTACAAGAAATATAGATTCATCCTTATAATAAACATTCTATTTGCTTCTTACCTGAAACTTTTTCCGGCATTGAATCAGGCACATTTTTCCTTTGATTAACTCATGAAAAATGAATTTGACTGGCAGGTTATTTCCTTTATTTTGTGTTAACTCCCGTTGCTGCTTGTAAAGGATGGATTTGCTGGTCATATTCCTGTGGTTTCATCGTCATGGGTAGGGAAATGGATGCCACAGCTTGTTCTGTAGTTATTATGATTTTTTTTTTATATAACAATAATAATTTTATTCATAATTAATTTAAGTTCCTGGGGACTGAGATATTATAACTTGCAGCTTTTCCGCAAATTCTGTTTGTTGCAGCATTTCTTCTACTATTGTCATTTTGGTAAGTTTTGCCTCAATAAATGAAGTACTTTGTTTCTGCTGTGTAACTTGATCTGTTTTAAGTCATTAATCAACATTTTCAGCAATGCATTCTGTATTGTGCAATAATATACGTGATCTGGCATTTCTCACTATCCACATGAAGTATTATGGCAAATCTTAAAACTTGATTCCTGATATAAAATAACAGTCTTCTACAGTGGTTTGTTGCCTAATTCTATACAGATACCTAACTCTTGAATGCCTAAGTAGTAGAAATTTACTAGTCTCACGAAATTAAGGCAAAAGCGTCAATTAAAATAGAAATTGATTTATGTCAGGATTGACCTTTGCCATCAGGCAAGTGATGATGATGAAGACGATGAAATATGCAGTCCACAAGAAGCACTTCTGGAGAAGATCAATATAACTTCTTCGAACGCTAATGTTCGCCAAAGGTGTTGCTCCTTTAAGTTGCATAGGATAGGAAGTCGGCAAAAAATTGTGATTCTGGTACAAATAATTATTTAGTATTCATTTTTTATATTGAATTTCTTTATCATCCACCTCTGATAAAAAAGTGAAAAAATTAATTAATTCACCAGGCCACTGTTTTAGTTTTTGCAATAATGATAGCGTCTTTCGTGCTGATATTGATTGGGATGGGAAAGGGTCCTATCAGTTCTGCAATCGTTGCTCAGGCATGTATTTTCATTATTCTTTTTCTATTCTTTATTTTTTTTCTTTTTTTTTCGCCTGCCCATTAATTGATTCTAGCTCTAGTAGTGAAGATATGCATGCATGCAAGTATAACAAAAGTTCTTGTCTTGAATATTGAAAAACAATACATAAAAGTGTACAGTGTGTTTACAACTCAGGCTCAGGGAGTATTTACTATTTACACTCCAAGTACTTTTTAACTATAATGCTACTCTAACTAGTGTAAAGTGCTATTAGAAGATTACAAAATGAAACACAAGGGAAAAATACGAAATAGAGTACAACTGTTAACTGTTTTATTCTGCTGAGAATCATGTTACTGAATGTGCAAAATGTCTGTTTATAGCACTCGCTCTTCATTGCATTGTAAGTTGTTCCTTATTGGTCTATGTTAGTTATTACACTTGGATTTCAATTTCATCATCTTAGAGATGGATTTTTGAACCACATGATATATGTTGTCATACCCAGTTACTTTAAGATGATCTTTTGGATTAATTTGCGAAGACAGGCAACTTTATATTTTTCGTTCAAGAATTTTATAAAATTTTGTGACTAATTTGCAGGTATATGTGGATCTCATTTCCATAATTGCTCTATTGCTTGGAGGAGCCTTGGCATGTTATGGTGAGCATCCATAATAGAATCTCTCTCTCTCTCTCTCTCTCTCTCTCTCTCTCTCTCTCCCTCCATTTGGTGTTTTTATCAAAGCTCCTATTATTTTGTTCAAACATCAGTACTTAATTTTAGCACAAGTTTATTTTTCTTTTTTCCCTTTTGTGAACAATCTGCCGAATTCAGGAATTATATTGTTCTTAAAAATGAGCAAAGTGAGAGCTGATCGAACTTCCTGGGAAAGGTCGAAGGTATCTATAATCTATTCAGTATTTCAGTTTTACTTAGAGAAAGTACTGAAATTTTCATTTTGCTGATGTCAATGTGTTCCCAATATATTATAAATCTATTGCAACATTTTTCTATTTTTTTTTTTTCTACTAAATAGTTCCTTCTCATCAAGATAATCTTTGTCATGCCACATAGGTTGCTAGTTTGGCGATTGTCTGCCTCGTAAGCTTCACATCAAGCGCTTCTATTGCAATCGGCACAAATATACCTGTAAGTACTTTTTTTTTGCTGGTTTATTATTGCATTATTGATTCAAATTAATTTTTCTTTTATTAAAGTCTCTGAAAGCTATCGCTTTGCAGCTGTTTTATAGCTGGCATGGAAAACAAATTGATGGCTACACCGCCCTTTTCCTGGTTTTGTATTATTTCATAGGTATTATTATCGAGATATATTCATTAATAACAGAAATTACCCCAGAGTTTTAGCATAAATTACAATAAATATAGTTAGCTTTCAAAATTACAAGTGCATATTGCACCCTCAAGAGTTATAGTGTTGTTAACTCTTTCAGAAAGTGTGTGTAGTCCTGACTGACTAAAGACGATAACTTGGAAAAAAAATAAATTAAAAAAAAATAGAAAAAAAGTCTCTATTATGTTCTTCAATATAATCGTCTTCCTCACTAATTCTTGCAGGTTCATCTGTGCCCTCAGCCTTTATTCTGTTTGTGATGAGAGAATTACCACATGGAACGGTTGCAACTCGTGTGTAGAATCAGGTTGTAATGCTGTTATCTGTCGATTATGATTCTGATAATAATTATCGGTCAAACTATAACTCTTGTTTATTGGTGCTATTAGCCAAACTTACACTCATTGAAGCATGAATGAAATCTTTATTTAATTAACTTTAAAGTTCAGTTCAATGAATGCAGGTTCCAAGAGCAAGCCCCATATGAAATTAACAGTTAAACATGGAGGATATATTCAGATGAATCCAGCCGGTTTAGCCATGAAGAGATATGTTCAGATGAATGTGGCTGGTTTAGTATATTTACTCAAAAAATTAAATTTGAAACACAGCTTTGCCAAGAACTTATTTCGTTGTATTTTTTGTTCCTTGTAAATAGTATTTTCTGTAAAAGTGTTTGAAACATTATATAAAGGAATTTATTTTATTCTTCACCTACAATTTGAAGAAGAATCTGCCGATTTTGAGCATTTTGTTCTTGTGAGGTAGAATAGAAGTTCTTTGTTCTTTGGATATAAGATGTTTTGATTTTGTTTGGATTTTTTGGTTTGGCATGGTTAATTTTGAAAAAAAGTGGTATGATTAGGTATTAGTGAAATTTTGAGTTTATATTAAAATAATATTTAAAATAAAATAATTAAAGATGATTTGATGTAAAAATAGGAAAGAGATGATGTAAACTGTGAAGTGATGGTTAATTAAAATTATGTGAGTGGACGAATAGTGGATTAAAGTTGATGTAATGAGTAAGAATGATTGAGTGATATTATTTAATTATATTGATAATATTGATAATATTGGAAATGAGTTAAAGTTGAGTTAGATTTGAGTTTAAAAAAAAGTGATTCTTTAAAAATAATTGGATTTAAAAAAAAAATTGTATCCAAGCACAATGCATTTTTTAGCTCCCCTTGCTATTTGTGCACAAATCCTGTAAAAGACAATAGCAACAAAAAAAATGCTACCTACATTTGTAAACTCATGAATTTTCAAAAGTCTAATTGAAATTTAGCACATTAAACACAAAACAAAATTTCATCCTCATATTGACTTACTCAAAACAATCAAAGACAAATCTATTCTATCAGAGACCGTTCCTCCTCTTCTCAGTTGCTGTATTTTTTCCAGTGCTGTCAAAAAGTGCGCCTCAATTGATCGATTTACTACAACAAAACAAAATGGAGGAATAGAGTCTATCAAACTAGACGAGGTATCTTTCAAAAAGGGAGTGTTTAACTTTAGTGCACTACAAAAAGAACACGTCAGCTATACAAAATTCATCGTAAATGTACCTTGCAAGCTAAAATCACAAAGCATTTTTGCCAACTGATCTGAAATCCTCAGGAGGCCAAACCTGCACACAAAGGCCATTAACGGTATATACGATAAAATCTTCACGAAATTGTTGCATTATTGCCTTTGGACAAATGACGATATGATCGCAAAAAGCCCTTTTCATAAAATCCCACAACTCAGAATACAATTTACCATCTAAGTGAAAAATGTTACTGCTATCACGAATGAAAGCCATCAAATCAAACTATTACGATGCATTACATTCAAGCTGAGGAAACCCATTAGATATCTAATAAACAAATACTGCAAAAGAATTTAAATAGCTCACCACAAGGAACACTTTGGAGTGTATAAGTGCATACGGGACAGGACCAAAGTGTCTCGAATCACGACTATTCAGCATATTATCCCCCTCGATCCAAACATGACCCTTTGGTACCTACAAGAAGATGCCAATACATTTTTCTCTCAACTTGATAAATAATAACTACACTTAAGAAATACAACTTCTTATATGAAATTGAAGAGAAATAAAAAGGATTGCTTTAAAAATTCTATTATTTGGGCAATGCGATTCGAGCTCGAGCCTTATAAATCGAGTTCCGGGAGCTCCAGCAGCTAAAAGAAAAAAAATCTATCTTCTTAACTCAGCTCGGTTTGTTTGCAGCAGATCACACAAAACAATTTCACCAAAACCCATTGAAACTCAAGCACATATTAAAAAGAGAAGCTCATGGATCGATTTTCAAACTCAACTTTGAACACATTTAGCAAAAACACCAATTTTCCAGATTAACAGCTCAAAACCAACAAAAAAGGCACAAGAGAGTAAAAGATCAATTACAACAGCAGTCTTATGTTCATCACTGTTCTTAGGGTCCGGCGCGTACGAAACCACGTCCCCCTCGACGGCCTTGACCCGCTTGGCCATAACCTTCGTCGGATCCTCGGGGCTCCGGACGAGCACCGCGTCGCCCGACCCGACCTTCCCCGAACGGCTCGTTAGTTTCTCCGTCAAGATGATGTTGCCGTCTCTGAACGTCGGGAGCATACTGGGGCCGACGGTCTGCAAAATGCACCACAGAAAGAGGTCAATAGCGGTTGTACACAGAGGTACAAGCTGAGAAAGCGTTACTTTGGCGGGTAAACAGAGGTAGGTGCCGGTAACGTGGAGGACGCATAGGAACTGTGCTACCCGTGCGGTTTTCTGCAGTGCTTCCTTCACGAACGGCGTCAATTCCCGCAGTCTACCGATTTTCATCTTTTTCGTTGAGCTTCTGTGAGTTGAAATCAATGGCGGACGGGAACAGCAATTTTGTTGAGATGGGAGAACAAAATGCAAAATGAGTGTTCCAACCCATTTTGAATGGGCCCTTTTGAGTTTGGTTTAGAAGAGAGGTTCATATGTGGGTTTAGAAAAGAGGAGTAGGCCTTCGATTAATTCTGGACCAATACAAATTCTATTGCCGAACTATAAATTACAAAATGAGTTTGGTTTTTATATTTGATGAATTCATGTTGTTAGAGGAATCGAGCCACACAAATGGGTTATGCTTATGCACGCTAGTGCTCAACTTCGGTACAAAAGAGCCAAACTAGAGCTTGTTTAACTAAAGACTGAGAAAAGCTCGTTAAGGCTCGAGAATATTGAGTTCAACTTGCTAATTTAGATAAACAAGACGAGTTCGAGCGAGTTTATGTGCTCAGTCATGAAGAGTTCGACTCGATAAAAGCTTAAGTCCGAGCTAGACTCATTTACAATTCTATTTGACGATTGGTGAATTTGGAAAGCATTTTCGGACTTGCATTATAACTTTGAAACAAAATTGTAATTCAAATTATTAATAGCAATTATAAAAGAAAAATAATTGTGATTCATGATAAAAAAGTTGTATATGTTGTAAACAATATGAATAGTGGAATTACCACTATTTGTAAATAGTAAAGTGAGGATGATATTAAATTTTGTGAAGGAAATTGCACTTGATGTCAGATAAGTTGCCTATAAAGGGCAACTCGTATGTAGCAAAGATGTGTATAAGAAAATAAGAAGAAAATCAGTATACATTATATTCGGTTTCTATATTCAGTTTTTCATCCCTTTCTCCGTATTCATAACATATTATCAGCACGACCGCTCTACCCGCTTACAAAGGTAAGAATATAGTATTTATATATATTACTAAACATAACATTTTACTAATTTGTATATTACCGTTATTATTGACAAGTACGGCTCTGTCATAGTCAATAATATGCAGTATGAATATACAAAATATAGCATTTTACTAATATGTATACTACCATTAATATTGACAAGTAAGGCTATATCATAGTCAATAATATGTGGTATGAATATAACAAATATAATATTTTACTAATTTGTATATTACCATTACTATTGACAAGTAAGACACTGTCATAGTCAATAATATATGGTATGAATATACTAAATGTAACAGTTTACTAATTTGTATTACCATTATTATTTACAAGTAGGACTCTGTCATAGTCAATATTATGTGGTAAAATGATATTACTATATTTATTTATGAATTACTAATGATTAAAAAAAATAACTCCAAGTTATAATAATAAATAATATTATTACAAAGACCACAGTTTAAAGACATCAAAAGATCGATAATATCGTCAAAAACATTTTGCAACGATTATGTAAAAAGTGGCCAGAGATTCTACGAATAACAGAAATAGCATAAGTCTTTGTTGCTTGGAGCATGAATCCCGAATCCAAAGCAAAACGAAGTCCAAATCGTAGAGCCAAAGCTTCAACTGCTGGCGGGGAGAATGATCCTGGTTGTTGAGATGCAAAAGCAGCCCAACACACTCCATCTGAATCACAAATCCACCCTCCTAAACCAATCAATTTATCGTGTACATCAACATCATTAAAAAAGAATAAGCCCATTCTGACATGTACTTGGGCCAAGCGACGAAATGATTGGTCCCGAGACTCATCTCGTCTAGCCACCCACGTCCAATATCCCAAACTTGTTCCACACTCCTTCCCTTCAAACCACGTCGTATGCTGTTTCTCTAATGCCAAATAAGCCATAAAAGAATTGCAAAAGTCTAAAACTCATCTCCCCGAGTCCCGTCAAGAATATCCATTGAGATCCAAATAAAGCTCTTGCCACATCGCCCGGCAAGTAAGTCCCACCAACCCGTCAATTTCCACAGGTTTTTAACCCAATCACAATCAAAGAATACATGGACATTCAATTCCCAGCCTTCGCATCTATGGCAATTTATGTACACATTGATGTGCCTACGAGCCAAATTTTCGAAAGAAATAAAAGCCCAATGACTCAATTTCCACATTTTCTTTTTCCGGAGCTTGTTTAATGTTCCACACAACTTTCCACCACTGCAAGTTAAGATGTGAACAAGATTCTCAAGATTCGTATGATTGGGATTTGAGTAAGTGGTAGCCACTCTTCACCGTATAAGAACTATTTTTTGAATGATGCCAAATAATTTAATTCAAAGAGTAAAAGAGAACCAAGGGGATAGATAAAATCGTGTGAGCATCAATAGTTACAAAAATGTTAAATCAAGTTCTCATTCTAAACTCCACTTACCCCCTAATAAGATCCTTCACTCTATCAATACCCGCAACGGGCACGGATAAAGGCCGAAAATGCCGAAAGTGGGGTATCCATGAATCTGGTATACTTTGATTTGCGTCCCGTCCCCCACTCCCCATCTCAATCAAGCTTGAAGGGCCCTCTCGTCCCCACAAAAGACATGAAAGAGGAATCTGAGCGGACCATAGCCTCCACGAAATTGTCAGAGTGAAAATACTTGGCTTTTTAATCACCCGAGATACTAGCAAGACCGGGGACGAAAGCACCCGCCACACTTGTTTCCCCCGCATCGCTTTGTTAAACAAATGCAAGTTCTTGAAACCAAACTCACCTTCTTCCTTTGACTTAGTCAAGTTGCTCCATTTGACCCAAAATAATTTTCGATTATTGGTATACGAACCCCACCAAAATTGTGGAATAATTTTTCTGATTTGGTTACAAAGAGCACTAGTTACACTTGACATGATTTACACAACCAAAAACTAAATAAAGGGGTGAAGAAGCTATGCATGCAGCCTCTACATGCTGCATCATGAAATCAGATCCCAAGAGAGGAATCAAATTATGGTGCTACCCTCTTTACTGGTTAGTGTCCATCTCATAGCTAAACTTTCAAGAATCAAAACCTCTCACGAGCCCTTTCGAGAAAAAAACTATGCATCAACGGTTGAGCAATGTGAACTTGGAACAAATTCAGCCAACATAATGGGCTCACGTACGATTTGCAGCCCTTGCTCTCGCTACAGACTTCTGATAAAGTTCTTCATAGACGGATGCTGAAGTTTCCCAACTAAAATCGATGCTCATGTCCTTTCGGACAAGCTGTTCCCAACCATCACCATCATTGCTGTAATGGTTAAATGCGCGTTCTAAAGCATTGTTCAATCCCTGTACATACACAAAAAGTTGGTGACTCCTTTTTGGGGAATATGATATAAAAACCTTTTAACTGTGAAGTTATTAATCTACTACCAAATGCCGGANGGAAAAGATAGCGTTTTGGATGTTCTTGACTATTTAGGAGGTATTTTTTATTCATTTTTGTGTGTGTGTAATTTGTAAAATTAGACCAAGCCTCCAACTTCCAAGGAGACTTGTATGTTAACCCCATATATCTAAAACTCAAGTATCTATTACCTGCTCATCAGCTGTCAAAAACGTAAATCCATTTCTGAACTGGACAGGTATTGTGTCATCATCTACGTCAAAAACACTGCAAGAAGCTTAAAACATTACGTTACTTGAGCAGGTACAGACAGAGAAAGGGAGAGAGAAAGAAACAAAGAAAAAGGAAGAAAGAAAGAAAGGAAAAAAGCAAAAGAAAAACGAGAGTTGTTTCTGAAGTCGTCTGCAGAAAACTCAACCTGTCATTTAATCCACCTGTCTTTCTAGCTATTGGAATTGAACCATATCTCATAGCAATCATCTGCAGATATATGACACGAGTTTAAAAGGAAAAGAAAAAACATTTTTCAACTATGTAAATACTGTTGATCTTACAGGAAAAATGGTACCTGTGTAAGCCCACAAGGCTCAAATATGGATGGGATGATAAACATGTCAGAGGCCGCATAGATTAAGTGGGAAAGAACCTCATCGTATTTCAGTATCAGTCTAACATGCTCATGAGTCTTGAATTTGTTGCTAATATCTTCAAACTCTCTCTGCAGAAAGAGAATTCTCATTACCCACTAAAAGATACGTGCAACTTTCTTAAAGTATGCTTTCAATTAGGAATGCATTTTTCTTCCCTTTCTATCTACGCACTCATTTTTTTAATTGTAACAAGGCTAAAAACACTCTAATTGAGAAAAGCGCAGCTTTCCTGAATTTGTGAAACTGGACTAGATCCCAGAAGCACGAATTGACCACCAAATTCCAGTGTCCTATACATTGCATGCCTTATAAGATGTACACCCTTTTGAGGCACCAATCGAGTTATGCAGGCAACCTACACATAAAATAGTAACAGGTGAATAAAACTATGACCAACATTTTCTTTATATATATATATATATATATATTTATTTTCGGGAATAAAACACCAAGAGGAGTATAAGGGGAACTAAGGCAAATATTACGATGTGAAGAGGAAGATAATCATGAACGTTCAGTCCAACACTCACCAATGGCTGTCGAATATCAGCCGAGGACAAACCAAGATGTCTTCTCAAAGCTTCTTTGTTTTCTGCCTTGCCTTCGATATCATTGACACTATACTGAGCTTCTAAAAATGGGTCGGTTGCTGGGTTCCACGCATCAGTATCAATTCCATTTAAAATTCCAACGAACTTCTTTGAATGTGAATCAAGTGTTGTGTGTAGCCCACGTCCTCCCTGTACCTCATAATTAGGAAAGAATTAAACTATATGTGTCTTTCTAACTGACTTAATAATCTTATTCAGCATTTAATCAAACCAAAAAAAAAAAGGAAAAAATGAAGAAAGACGTTCATATAGTCATACCTCAGAACTCCGCACCTCTTGAGCATAGGATGGAGAAACAGTCGTCACAATATTTGAGAAGACTATTGCACCCTGAGAAGATGAGAAAGACCATGTCGAGAAAAGAGGCCAAACAAAAAAGATGGTAACAGAAATCAACACAACACATGGCCATAAAAAGCTTCAATAGTCTCTAGTCTCTATTGGTAGGTACTAACTCACCAACACAGTAATAACCTCACAGATATTCATATTTGAAATTTAATTTTCATTCTTTTAGAAAAGGAATGAAAAGCAGCAGCTAGTGAGATTTCGTCCAGCAAGAACCCATTCAACCAATTAATCAGCAAACTGTGGCATATAATTTATGTATTGAAGAAAAAATTAAAGAAAGAAAGACAAGAAACAGCTAGGATTACCTTCACAGGATTGACCCTGTCATTTGATGAATTATCCTGCATCCTATCAGGTCTATTCAGGCGGTAAACATCAAGACCACATGATGCTAGATCCGAAGCTGGTGCAGCTCCTTGATACTCAAAATTGTGACATGTAAAACATATTCTCGCTGAATTCAGTCCTTTTGGCACATATAAATCCCAATAAAGAGGTGCCTACAGACGCGTGCACACGTAAAAGAATAAGAAATATGCTATTGAGACACAGAAGAAAGTGGAAATAAAAATAACAATATTTGTAGTATCCGTACAACGAATGCTGTCTGCCAATCATGACAGTGAATTATGTCTGGTTTCTTGCCAGCTTGGAGAAGTAACTCAAGTGCTGCCCTACTGAAGTATGAGAACCGCTTAAAATCATCTTGCTCTCCATAATATTGACCCCTCCAGAAGAACTTACTAGGGTGATGAGGCTCAATGAAGTAAACAGGAAGCCCTAAATGGTAAATTTACAATAATCAAATGTATTAGCCTGATGACACATTCAGAAGAAGCAGAAAACATTTTTATCATCAGAAAAATGATAGAACTACACCTTGGACAGTGCCAACCCAAATTTTGTTTTTAAATAACTTGCCATCAAAATATGACTCGACAGGAACATCCAAAGCCTGCACACCATGAACCAATATATATAAGAAAATAAGGTAAAAATGTGGAGGCAGCCACTGAGTATCAAATACCTTCAAGTCACGAATTAGATCATAATGCATGCAGTCATATTTTGGTAACACAATCTCCACGAGGTGTCCTCTCTTCTGAAGTGCTTTACTGAGACCAGTCACCACATCTCCCAATCCACCAACCTAAAACAAATATAAGAAAAAAGGGAAGAAAGAAAAAGAAAGAAAGGAAGAAAGAAAGAAAAGCAATAAAAGTAGAAAACTTCAAGTTACCAGTCAATTAAATGTAAATTAGCAACTATGAAATTAAAAACTCGTAGTAAATACATACCTTAGCCACAGGCGCCATCTCTGCAGCAATGTGTACCACATGTAACCTCTCACTAAAAAGAGATATCAAGTATCAGTCAAGGATCAGTGTCAGTTACATGCAAAATAAAAAATTCACAAAATTATACGCGTACCCTGTTGTTGGCGTTGTCAATTGTAAAAATGCTGAAATTATTTCACACTCATTCTTTTCCTTAGATGACAAATACACACCACATATACTCTCCTCCCTATTCCATATCATTTCTCTCAACATCTTTGCTTGATCCACCGTTATCTTCCTCTCAAGATACCACCCATCCACCATAAGCAGTAAGTTACTCCAAAATTCACGAGGCTTCTCATTTTCAAATTCATCTTCTTCCTTTGTCTTGCTTTCTTCTTTCAATTTATTTAAAGTATCCTGAAACTCCTTCATGGAGTCCTGATATAACTGAACATAGGAATTGATTTCCTCATCGGACTTCTGAAGGCGCTCGTCCAGTAGTTTTATCTTATGCTGCATTAGTTTATTATACTCTTGCATTTTCTCGGACGACAGTTTATACACATTTGCATCGTCTAGAGATTGTTCTAGCCGGTCAACCTTCTTGCGTAGTTCTTGATTGTGCTGCAGCACAAGAATAGCTTGGTCAGCCTGTTTAGTAGCCTTATCCAGCAGCGCTTGTAAATCCTCCACTTTCTCGTATAAACTTTTGCATTCGAACTTCAAACCAGACATATTTGATATATCCTCACGAGACACAGCGAGTTTAGACTCTAACTCTGTCAAAGAAGATGCTAGAAATACACGTTCTTTTTCAAGTGTCTTAATGCGTTCATCGGTATCTCTGAAACTACTAAGCTTGTCCTTCAAAACCCATAGTTCGTCCTTCAGGGACATGTTCTCTGCCCTTAACGAATCCAATTCTTGGCTAAATGTGCTGACAAGGTCACTTTCTGGAGGAGCATAATAGTCAGTAGTATCTTCTGCATTTTCTTTATGTCGACCCCTACTCGATACTTCATTTCGCAGGTTTTCCAATTGGTTTTCCAGGACCTCAACATGTATCTTCTCTTGTGTGGCCATTTTGAGGCGCGCATCTGTTTCGACCAATTTCATCTCCAAAATGTTGATTTCTCCCTGCAAAGACTCTTTCTCTCCAAGAATCTTTTCAAGGTCTTCAAGGGCGCGCATACGAGCTCGATTGAGAAGGTGTATATCTACAGAAAAAGTACCACGAAATAGAGTTCAGTTCAGATTCTGAATAATCAATTTATATTCTATAATACATGTAGAGAGAGAAAGAGAGAGGAAGAGGCGAGATTTTATAACTGTCATAAATTTTATCACATATGCTTCTTAAATTTATTTTACAATTCATTTATGCTTGTATTGCACAAGTAAAGGACTACGCTGCAATAAAGGACTAAAAATGATATCAACTTACTCTTCTCAGCATTTCTTATCATCCAAATCAGATCTTCGAGATGAATGCCAGATACTTGTTCTCCTCCATCTATAGCAGTGGACTATTTCGAAGAGAACATAATCATATTCTGAGGCGAATCATATGTAAGTTGTAACGCCCAGAAAAATAGTTCTGAACACTAGCATGGTTAGAGGATACTAAGATTTGACATTTTACAGATGCAAACTGCATGAAATTCGAACTATAGCTTGTTTTAGCTCAAAATCAAAGTGTTGAGGCATATACTAGAATTTCTTTTACTTGGTAAATTGCTCACCTTCTCATCTATTAAATGTGATGTTTCCTCTGCAGAACTAACGGTGTCATTTGTAACTTCCTCTAGTGCAAACGAATTGTTGTAATCCTTCTTGTTTGAAAATCCATCTTCGCGTAGGACTGGAACATTGTCGTTAGAAGCTATCTCTTGATTTGAATGTAAGGTTCTACTTGTAGACAAGTAGATTTGATCAGAGTCTCCATTCGGCGGCAAATTTGTATTTGTCGAACGGTCAATATTGGTTTTCTTTGCTTGCTGTCTCTTATTTCGCAATCTGCAAATGAAATATATTATGACGCACAATATAAAGAAAAATTTATGTCAGCACCATGAAAAATGTATTCCTGAGTTCATAACGGGTGTGAGTTGGTATTATCTTCCAGAACCTATACCACATTTCAGAAAGGAATGCTACAGTAAACGCACAAAATAATCATCGACTAATGGAACTCGTCATTACATCCTGAAAGAAGCTATGATTCATTCATATTCCAATTTTCTGTAGCTAACTAGCAAGCACACTTCCAATCTTCAACAAAAAAAACTAATTTCATTATTTCGTATCACTGAAAACTACAAGGTCATTATATATAAAACGAAAATTAGGTCAACAATAATAAATTCCACAAAATGTAATCCATCAATTTCGAGACAATTCAGGATTCAAGCGAACAATACCATTCCAAATGCGCAAAACCAAATTCAAACAATCCGTCATAGAAAGCCAACAACAGAAATATACCAAGTAGAAGATTTGAAAAGGATTGAAAATAAAAGAAGTCGATAAGATCAAACGCGAACCTGAAGCTACGATGTCGCATTCTGCAAGACGCAGGGAACAAACGCTGAGACGGCGTAGGGCAAAATCGTACAACAACAAGGCCGCCTTTGAGGCCACCGTCGAACAATCCCCGGCCGAGAAAACACGTCGACGGCATCGTCGCCATGTAAATTTCACGCAGTTCGCACCTCCAGTGTGTGTGGATTTGTGAAAGACGACGGTTGCTTAGAACCAACGACTGCTTAGCTTAGTTGATCAGTGAGATATTAATATTTATTAATTATTATTGTTATTATTATCATTTTTGTTAACTGATTACAAACGACATCGTTTTGTTTTGTATTTAAGTGCAGACTGCAGAGTCGAAGATATTCAAAACGGAAAAAAGGAGCACTTTGGACCCTCTCCACTCCGCATCGCCGATTCTCCGCCGCCGGCAGAGAGGTGCCGCCGCCAAGCCTCCACCGGCGATATCTTCCGAGCTCTTCAAGAAATACCTACCTTCTTGCTGACGGGCTGCAAGATCTGGCATTGGATAGCAAACCTGGCTGCATCCTCTTTGAAATGGGCGTCGCAATCTTGCTACTTATTTGTACAATTACCTTGATTTTCATCCGAATTACGTACGTTGTTTACCATACTGGTAAACCCAGGTCCGGAAAACCGCCTCCGCCTCTGAGTACTCTGATCGTGCTGGGATCAGGTTAGCAGAAATTCCCCCTTTTCTATGTTCAATTCGTGCTGAAATTTGCAGCCCTTTGTTTTCCACGATCTTAATTATGTGATAATCTGTGTTGTTTTCTGTTTTGCGTTCGTTCTTCTTTTTCTTCTTTTTTTTCTATTTAATTGTAATAAATTTCGTGTCGTCTGATCCTCGTCCAGGCGGCCATACGGCGGAGATGATAAACCTGCTGAACCCTATGCAGATGGAGAGGTTTAAGCCGAGATATTACGTAGCTGCTGCAACTGATAGTATGAGTCTTCAAAAGGCTCGTGTGCTGGAGGATTCTTTGATGGACAAGGTAAAATTCCNTGTCTAAAAAAAAAGAGAGAAAAAGAACACGAAGCTTTCTAGAATTTTACGAAGATTGTGTCCTTATATTTCCTCACAATGTCAAATGTCATCTACTCATCTTAGGCGATTCGTTTGTTGTGAGTTGTGACAGACGAAAGATTCTCACTTCATGCAAATTTACCGGAGTCGTGAAGTGGGCCAATCGTATGTGACCTCAGTTGGCACCACGTTAATTGCTTTGACACACGCATTGTGGCTCATGATCAAGATCAGACCTCAAGTGGTATTGCTTGTTTCTCGATTATTTTTTTCTTTTTTTGAAATTTTTTGGTTATTCTTTTCACTTTTACTTCAATTTTGTATATGCAGATATTGTGCAATGGCCCCGGGACTTGTATACCACTATGCGTGATCGCGTTCATTTTTAAGGTTTGAGATTCGGTCCACTCGTTTGACGAGGATATTCTATTCTTTAGCCTGTTATTTTTCGAAAATAATAATAATAAAAATAATATTAATAATAATAATAATAATAATAATAATCACTTTCTAGGTTCTCGGAGTCAGATGGTCTTCCATATTCTATGTTGAGAGCATAGCCAGAGTTAGGAGGCTATCGTTGAGCGGTTTGCTTCTCTACAAACTTCATATGGCTGACCAGTTATTTGTGCAATGGCCACAGCTGAAGAGCAAATATCCTCGGGCTAACTATCTTGGCCGTCTAATGTAATGATGCCATTCATGGTACTTGACTGAAGGTACTTATAAATACTGATTCTGGGTTCCTAATACGTATATTCGCAACCTTGGAATCTTAACTTTGAAGTCCATTGTTTTCTGAATAAACAAAAAAGAAACAACTTTGGTCTCGAGTTTTGTTTAGTCCATTATTTTCTATTCAAACCCATAAGAATGACAAGAATGCTAAGTGTAAAGCTACTATTTCGCTCTGTGATGCATTTTCTTACGAAGTTCGTATTTGTTTTCTCATGCCTTTGTAGGGTCCGTCAGGTGGCAATTTTGGGATTGTATTGGACTCAGGATGAGATGGAAGCTGCTAACTATAGAATTTGAAATTTATACGTCTATTTAGTTGGATAACTCGTGCAGAATGAATACGCTAAGCTGGTTTACCGATACTCATTTAGTGAAATATTTGTTAAGAACATTGCTCATGAAAGCTTTTGCCTGTTTGCTTGTGGAAAAATTGACAGGGAAATCAGAAAACGCTTTGTGACTTTCATTTTATGTCCTGCAGTCGTAATTTGTTAATCTGATTTGTCATGCAAATTCGGTTTTTGGATTGCTTTCTTCAGCACCAGTTTGATCAATTGGTTTTATTTTCAGATTTCATGTGTAAACCTTTTACTGTATTCAATCCCATTTTTTATTTGGTTAGTTTTATATTCTGATTTTAAGTGTAAACCTTAATGCAATTCCAAATGTCTTAGTTTGAAAATCCTTTTCTCATACAAATCAGTTTTATCTTCAGCTATTATCACTTCAAACTGACGGAATCCTTTTCTGATACAAATGTCGTTCACTTCAAACAAATTTCAATCATTCAATTTAATGTTACCAACGATAATGCTAACATTTAGAGATCATATCGACCAAATGAACGTTTAGAGATCATATTAACCAAATGATTCAATAGCCATATTTGACCAAATGAACATTTTAGAGATCATATTGACCAAATGATCCAAGTGCTTAGAAGTTGGAAGGCAAATCTCACTTATTTTTTGTCAAGTATGGTTATATAAAATAACGTGAGCTCTTTCAAAATTATTAATAAACCCATGTAGCGAAACACAGCCTGCTTGAAAAATTGATTGGAAAAAAATGTGCACCTTGTAAAATGGAACAATATCAAACGTATTGTTTTTAAAAAAAAAAACAAGAAGAAGAAGAAGAAGAAGTTAGAATTGATGTTCATCCATAGTGTTTGCCAATAACTCAATAAGGCATAGCAACTAATATGAGAAGAACAAGCTTAGCCTGAGTTTGAAAATATGTGGTCACAAGTGGATCAATTCTGTTCTCATATTCAGTCTCAAATTTATTTTGTTCTTGAATTATATAATTAATTGAAAAAAAAAATAAATAAATGAAGGGATTTGCTGAGGGAAAGTACTTATTAAGGATATGGGCATTTAATTGTAGTTTTTTTTTTTCTTGTTCGATGATGTTGAATATCACATTCAGAAAGTACTTACACGAGCATGTGTAATTAACTGATTTTTATCATTGACGACTAATCGGATGATGATCTGGACTAGTCCCGATCAAATGGTAGCTCACCACATGAAGAATAAAAGCCCAGGGCTTGATTGAAATCAAGTACAAATGAGGTATAAAGAATATTGGGGTATAAGAACAATAATTTTAAATATAAATATTGCGGTATAAAAAATAATAATTAATATATGTAAAAATACCAAAATCGTAGATATGTACTTGAAGTGGGTGTACATAGAGCTGTTAAATGAAATGAGTCGCTCGTAATTTCAGTTCCTTAGCTTGAGTATAACTCGGACTCATTTGATAATTGAGTCGGGCTCGAGCATGTTTAAAACCCATTTAGGCGAACTCGAGCACGTTTAAAACCCATTTAGTTAATGAATCGAGCCTATTAAGGCTCTATAAAAGGATTTTGACATAATTTTTTTGAATTTTGACCTTACCTAGACTCGTTACGGCTCGAATTGAATACGAGTTGAGTTATTTAACTAATGAGTGAAAGTTTATTTGCCTTGGGAGAGATTTGACAAATATTTGACAAATATCCAGAGAAATCGGCATGTATTTATTTATTTATTTTTTATTTTTTTTTATTTTTTTGCCTACAATCGGCATGTATCTTACATGTTTTAGTATTGAGAATGAGAATGATGATTTATTGCCTAATTCTTGGTCGACCCATCAACTTGATGTTTTGACATTGTCCATATAAATGTATGCTATACTACCAACCTCCACCAACATATGCTATATACCAACCTCCACCACATGGGAAAAATATGGAAAGGCTATCTCTAAAAATTGGGGAAAAAATATATGAAAATAAAAAATGGAATATAACCGGGGAGACAATAGTTTGCTTTCAACAATGTCAAAACTGGCTATACAATATTTCTGCTACTCATTTTGGTAAATGGCAATTGATGATGTCAACATAGAATATAATTGACCGTGCAATGAACTACTCCTGAGACGAGGCATTTTCGGGTCCAGTAACTGTCTCCCAACTCATATTTCACTTATGCCCCTACCAAGGCAACTATTTGCTAACGACATTCACAGCTTTGCAGTCCGAAGCCTAGAAAAAATAACAAATGCATCAATATGGTGACGTAACAAATTTTAACAGTCAATTAGGCGCTTGGCAAATCATCAATAAGAACTTCAATGCTCAGTTGAAAATATATCTGTTTCTTGACTCAAAGGTCTAAGGGTATTATATACTGATTAAAATGCTCATAGAAGAATACATGAATCTCCTGATGAAAGGGAAGTTTGTATTGTTGTTTTACACCCATGCTCTACAAGGTATCATCTGTGTAAGTTGATTAACCAAAATATATCAATGAGAGGAACAAAAGAGCTTACTCATTAATGAGGGATCTGAAGAATAATGAACGAAGTAAAATACAAGCAGACACAGATTGCAACTCCAGCAATAAAATTGTGCAACAGCTTCTGGTTGTCTCTTGTCGGGATGAAAGCCAATTTCAGCGTGTTTGTCAGCTCAAAAAGTCGATATGATATCTGCAATCAGGAGAGAGAGAGAGAGAGAGAGAGAGAGAGAGAGATTAACTAATTAAAAATACAGGCCGACAAGTAGAGAATCAAGTGTTGATCAATTGGTAACTAAATTTCAGATGACAAATACTCACCAAGATGTAAATGGCTGTCGTGAGCATGAAGTTAAGCAAAGGATACTCTGGAATGAAACAGAGCAGCCACTTAGGCTGTCCATTGGGCATATTTGATCTGCACACACGACCATAGAATGTTAGAGGGTATTACGACACAAATTCAAGTAAATAGTCAGTAAAAAACATGGGCCGGCAAGAATTAGCTACCAACCTCAGCCATATGTGGAACTGGGAAATATAGGTTTCCAAAGTAACTTTGCCCAACCATCTGTTGTACAAAGAGTGTTTGCATGGTTAAACCACCATTCTCTAATAACTTCAGAAGAAAAGATAATAATTCCAACTGCAAATGCTTAAGGTGACAAAAATAAACAGAAAACTTACGCAAACAGGGTCAATGAAAAATTCCGAAGTTCCTGAGTGAAATTACGCAAGCAAATATAGACGCTGAAAAAGATATAAAGGAAGAACGTGAGAAAACCGATACTGGTAAGACAAGCACAAGGTAGAAGCAAGTATGCTTGATTTTCTGTTGGTATAGTACTCTTGCCAAAAGAGGAAAGCAGTTTCATTAAGAAAAATAAAATAGATCAATACAGAGATATAGAAAATAGAAAGAAAAAATCAATACGTGATGGGGATCCAAGATGTGTAAGGATGGAGCTTGTTGTACGAAACTTTGTCCAGCTTGTATATGCATTCATACCACAAATACCCAACCTAGAGCCAGAAAAAAAAGTCAAACTATCTCTCTATCAAACGAATTATTTGAATGCAAAATCAATAGCCATTAATCATCTGGATAGATAACTATCTAAAATTAGGTAACTCACAACTAAAGAGATTGAAACAATGGCAGCTTTTATTGAGCGCCTCCTCTTGGCCTCAGCTTCTTCCAGTTTCTCCATCCACTTTTCAACCTGCAATGATAAAACCAAATGAGATCATAAGTTCATGACAAGAGATGCATAAAAACCAGCTCCAATTACAGACATTACATTTGGGTGAAAGTAAGCATAGATCATTCCAACAATCCATATGTATCGGTCAAGTCCGGATCTGAAATGCCATTCATGCAGCCTCGGAAGATCCGGTTTTGCTGGGTCGTTGTATCCTGTCATTAAGTTAAACAATCATCAAGATTTAAGTTTCTTAACAGTGATATAATAATAAGCAGATAATATTGCTTCATAGAAACGAATGAGTTATGGATGGCCACGCACCTAACAAGAAAGTGAGAGGACTCCACAAAATTTCAAAAACACCTGGAATTTCCCACACCAATATAACAACGACAAAGCACATAACGATTTTCAGAGCCATCACCGCTTTTATCTCATTGTAGTTGTAACCTATACCAAGGGCTCCATAGACCATGAGTGTAAAGAGGGTATGCATAGGGCAGATATAGTATAGCATGTAGTCGTTGTTGAGAACAATGCAACAGAATGCCACGAAAAAGTTCAGCCTCCACATCATCTGAATAGAGAATACAAATGTAACTTAGTATGCCACTAATGAACCAAAAGCAGTAGAAGTAGATGCTACTTCACCAACCAAGTTGAAATGACTGAAAATTAACTCATGTTTGTAATGTCACCTGAGCAAATCGAGCGAGACTGAAATCTTTTCGGATGTAGTAGTATGAGAAGTTTCCAAAACCAGTCATCCACACATATGCAGCTATGAAAACACGAATTGCATTGTAGATCTCCGATGCGGCAAAGTAATGGTACATCAAAAACAAGACCTATCAAATACAAAAGAGAAAAGAATCTCTTCAGGAACTTCCAAGGAACAAAGTGGGCTCAGAAATTAAATAACCTTTGTCAATTTTATAGTTTGGCAGAAAATCAATCCAGAGGCTGGAAACGTGAAGGCCAAACCATGAAGATATAAATCACATGAGAAGAATCATTAATCAAATAACCAAATTACTTGCCTGCATATATCCTTTCCACTCTTCAGTCTGATGGCGATTCAGATAAAGGATAGATTTCCCCGAAAATGCAGACTTGTCATTATGTTTCTTGAAAGAAGTCATTGCTGAAACAATGATAAGGAGAATGTACAGGAAAAGGAATAGATCGCGGTTGTAGTTCTGCCCAACAAGGAAAATAAAAACAGATTAATATAATCAGAGAAACAGAGCAATCTAGTACAATGAAGCAGTAGCAGATGGCTACGAACGACGCAAAGATATACAGATTATTTTAACCAAGAGATCAAACACAAAAGTTGATGCGTCTTGCGTATCAAGCTTTAGGCAGGACTCATAACAAGCAGCATAACTAACAGAAGAAATTAATTTTGCAAAGTAATTAAAACAACTACTCCATGTTCCATGTTCATCTCCTTGTGCACTGGAATGAAAATACATGACTACTTCATGAACAAACATACCCATATCAAATGTAAGGCATGGATTGCTTATTGAGATTTGTTTATCGAGAAAATCAAATACAAAAGAGTTTGTAGTCTTTGTCTAACTAAATAGTAGAGAAGAAACAAACAAATTAATTTTCTAGAAACAGATAAACAAAGCACCTTGTGTGAATCTGCAAAAACATTTGTGCGGTCACACAAGTAGAAATAGAACAAAATCCATCCGAACTCAGCCCTGCAAAAAGATTGAGACATCATGATTAAGATAAAGACTTCTTCTATTAAACAACAATGAATAGTAAAATCCAAAATTAAAACTCACATTGCCCTAAGAAGTTGCCGATTTTCTAGCAAAAATGACTCCTCCATTGTCAAAAACCTAGACCAAGAAGGTAAACACATCACAGACGAATTCATGAATGATATAAATAAATTAACCCAGGAAAATACCACCAGAAACATTACATATTAGACTGACCTGATTATGTTTGTTTTAATAGAGGGAGTGGTAAACTTTGTGGATAAAGAATTTGTAAGACCCCCTTCCATCAAAGAAGCTCGATCATCATCCTTGATTGTCTCACTTTCTAGTTCAACCAAATTATTATCTGAGTGGCTGCTACCATGAAAGCAAAGCATAATGGATAAGCTATGGAAGTATAATTATACCATGTATTCTCTTTCAGTTTCAAAGGGGTTTAAATGAATTTGTTAGGGAATCAAGATACTGACAAGCCTGTAAAATTTCAATTTATGTGGTATAGGAAATAAAAGAGTTGATACAAGAAGTGAAAGTTGCTCACACTTTGGAAAGGGATGATGACCTCTTATACTCCAACCATTCGGAGTATATCCATGCCACAAAGACTGGAATGACCCCAAGCAAGAACGATACCTACGAATCATAAGTGAAGAATTTCAATCAACATGAAGTGCAACCACAGATTTTAAGATATAGTAATTCTAATAATTAACACTTAATAGAGACAAGAAATGCTAGTCATAAACTGAAAGCCTAGAAATGTCACTGATACCACCACTAGCATGTTGCTACTGGATTAGATAAATAAACCGATAGCATATCATATATCAAATAATTATGTGAGTTCACTTCCACAATGCTTGAACTTGAAACTGAAAGTTTGATCAAACACAAACAACAATATATTTATCTTAAATACCAAATACTGAATCTACAACTATTCAAAGGTTGATCAATACTGATAAAGATGATCCTACATTTAAATCCAGCAACTACCATCAGATCACATGCTTTATCATTAGCTGATTTTACGACTATTGAGAAATTTCTCTATCACTTCCATATATGAACTCTTTCTGTCCAACTAAAATACTTATATTGTTATAGATAAAACAAGTAACCAAATCCCCACATCTACTATGTCCGTATAACTGNCTTCGTCATCTCATTTCAAATCCATCGATATCATTTCAGGAATCATTTCCTTTTTCTATATGGAATCAAAAATCATCAGCATGCAAAAGATAAACCGAGAGAGAGGTACAAAATTCCACAGGACATAAGTTGGCATAAAATCACAACAAAACTCACATCGCAGTTAGTGTAAGGAAGCTCAGACACGAGTTGGCAGAAAATCAAGATATTCAACTACAAACCAAGATCCACATCGAGTTCACATTACACTAATCAAATAACCAATGAAGAAGAAAGCAAAAAAGGCAATACAGAACAGATTCACATCCACAGCCATAATAAAAAACAACTGAAGCAGAGATCAAAAGGCCGATCAACAACAACAACAAACTGCAGGAACTGTAAATGTCATAACCGCACCTGCCCAGGCGTCAAAGGTCCAGATTCCACCGCCATTTTCCCTCCGTACAACGGGGAAAAAAATGATTTCTACAGCAAATCAATCGATCTACACCAAAATACCTAATAAACCTACAAAATTCTCATCGATCAAAGCAAACGCCGTGAGCGGGTTGCGCCACAGAATCGAGGGTTTTAAAAGCAGAGATCTGAAGCAGAGTGAGGTGATGTGATGTCGTCGTTTGCTTGAAGATTTGATAAAACGGAGAGAGGGCTTTTTCGGTGGAGACGTCCCTTTTTATTTTTCAGAGCACCAACTGTCAAGTGGTAGTTGAGGTCTCTACTAATATTCTCAACTTTCCTATTAATTGCTCTTCCAAATTTTACTACTTTAGTGTATTATACCGTATCGTATCAAATATCAATGTTCGGTATGATAAGAGGTATAAACAAGCAGAGTCGAGCTCGAACTTATAAAAATAATTGGCAATTTTCGTATTTACCAAAAAATAATTTACAATCTCCTGTGCATTTTGATTATAAAATCGTTCAAAAAAAAGTGAAAAACCACACACATTTATGGTTTGGTTAAAATGCATATTGCGAATTATGATTTTTTTTGTTTTAAAAAAAATACTATAAGTTGCAATCCGCTAACTTAAGCAATATTTTTATTAAGCAAGAGCTCCTTTTTTTTCATAAAATGTTTTTGATTAGATTAGTTTTTATTATTTTCAAATATAAACAAGTCTATACTTATATTAAAGGGGGTACTATTTACCAAATTAAGTAGCCAAAAAAGTCAACAGCATTTATTGCATTACTATTTCCGTATTATATTACTCCCTCCATTTTGAAATATAAGGCGTATAAAGATTTCTCAATTTTTTTGAAATATAAGGCGCACTCAAAAATCAAGACAAATTTTTGCATTTTTTTCCAAATATACCCTCATTGTGTTGAAATTAAGGAAGTGTGGAGTGGTTGTGATTAGAGTAAATAAGGTTAATTTAGTCAATTTATTCATTCATTAATGTCTCCTTAATATTTGTGCAATAACCTTAAATGCCTTATATTTCAAAATGGAGGGAGTATATAAAAGGATATTCTATTTACTACATTTATTATCCAGAAAAGTCAACTGCATTAAATGTCATTACTATTTTGGTATTATCATATTTTATTTATTTAATTGATTTATTTATTTGTTTTATTTTAAAAAGGTAAGTATAATAAAAAGATTTAATAATAAAAAAATTAAATACCAAATAAAAATGTACACTTTGACTTATTTGATTATATTTGATATTTGATTATACCAAATATATTCCTATTTAGTATATACATTAAATCTATCATTATATAAAAAGAATAACCTTTTTACAAATTTAGAAACTTTTTCCCGCCAAAATCATTAAATATATCCTATATATAGTAATTGTTGGACAAATCTGAATAGGTAAAAAAATCCGTTCATTAATTGTGTAAAGATTTGTTTCTCTTTTCCCTGTTTCTTAGTTTATCGTTTTAACAATAAATATTTTTTTTACTTTTTCCTATTTTTAGTATAATTCTACACGAGCTTATCTCTTCTGTTACAAAATCTCATTGCATAGTGTTTAAAAAATCTCATCTCTTATCTATACAGATTTGAAAAAATAAAATAAAATAGAAATCAATTCATAATTATTACTAGAAATCCATTATCTTTAAAAAGAAAAAATAAAATAAAATAAAAACCAATTCATAATTACTACTATAAATCCATTATCTACTTTAAGAAACTAATTTTCATCGGTCTAATTACTAATGTTTTTTACAAATATTCTAAGCTAACCATACAAAAAAGTATAATGATAATTTTGAAATGGTGTGTAATCAAATTTTTTTATATTCTCTTATACAAAATCATTTTACACTGTTTGATCCCGAATCTTTAATTTATAATTATTAAGTATTGTTTATCCTCCTCTTTTATTTATAATTGTTTTTTTTCTTCCTCTTTTTAAATACGATCAATAATAGTTTTCACTTCCGCCATTGACTCAAACTCGAGGTCTATTTATAATATTGCTATTTTAATATTGTTCCCGTGCATCGCACGGGGTACACACTAGTGTATAGAAAATGTGATACTTTACAATTATAAATATGATAGCCTAACTTATTCCATTAATGCTGACATATATAGGGTATATTTGTAATAATACTCATATCACAATTATGGTTAGAGTTAATCAATCATGTTACCTCATAAAAAAAACATGATTATCGTGATTAGGTAGTATTTATAATAAAGATAGCTGTTGGATTTAAAGCAATGCAACATGTGAAACAACTGCCTTATACCGGATGATATTTTAGGTACATAACTATGTGGAGTACAAGTGAAGTACATTTTTGCATTAATTGCTCTCTTATTTTAGGATGTATATAGAATTATAGATAGTTCTTATAAAAAACAAATAACAAATATAAAATAAAAATACCTTTTTTCTTTTACAAATACAAATATATTGTTAAAAAAAACTATTAATGAATTATCATCCATTATGATCTAGAATAGAAACTAAGGAGTCTAACTAAAACAACATAAATTGCTACTAATTTATTATTATCACACATATTTTACTAAATACTAGTTAGTTGAATGAAATTCGGAATAAACCCTATAAAAGCAAAGAGTAATTTAGGTATAGCATTTAGCATATGTTCCATGTTGGATAAAGTGATGCAGTAACAGTCACAAATCTTGTTATGAGATATTACTGTTGTCGATATGTGTCACAATTGATGTGTTCATTTATAATATGATAAAACATAAAAATGCATATCTCCCTTAATTTAGTTGAAATTTTTTTTTTTTCATAAATTCTCTCATTTTATATAATAAATTTGATTCATGCAGCACAAATAAATTTGATTCAATGTTCCCCTAGCCACTAACTGATTTTATCATTTCCATTTAAAAAAAAAAATGTAAGCTTGTGAAATTGTAATATCACAGTTTAAGATTTTATAATTTTTCAACAAGTAAATCTTAAAATAAAAAATTCACAAGCCAACAAGATCTTGTGGCTCGTTAATAAGGACAATGGAATGGAATTCAGAAGACAAATTTCAAAAAACAAACCCAGCAATACAACAAATTTGTTCCCAATGGGACCACTCATCACAATCCCANTATATCAGAACAAAGTCGAGCTCACAGGAACCACTAATTCTAACGAAATTCACTTGTTGTAACACGACCAAGTCTGAACAGGTTCAATTATCATAAAAATATAAGCCAATATATATATATATATATAGCTTTGAGAAGAGATTCCATGTCCAATCGACCAAGACTTGAGTCATTTTGGCTTCACCATGAATTTTCTTTATATATATAGCCGAGCATCTGATTGCACTTGTTCCAGCACATTACTGAGTGCAAAATTTAGTAGAAAACATTTGTTCACTCTTTTGTAGAGTTTTCACCATTGAACAAAAAATCCTCTCGAATTAGTGATGATATTCCATAAGATCGGCAAGAGTGATTTTTCCACAGTTGCCTGAATCGAGCCGTTCAAATTGTTGACAAATCTGCAAGATGTCTTTTTCCGAAACTTTGCCCATCTCCTTGAGCTTATAAACTACATATTCCGATTTTCTGCTGACATGGCATGACAAATTAGCAAAAAATAGAAGTTTAGAGAAGAAAAAAAGGGAAAAATTATATAAAAAAGAACTGGTCCTAAAACCATTCAGTTATGCAAAAGCACCTAAGACGATGAATATTGAAACCCATTTATGACTTTTTTTTTATAATCAATAGTGAATATACTCATTAGCCAATCCATTCACAAATTTTAATGCAGATTAAAATGCACTTTCAAGAAAGATACACACAAACACAAGAAGTTCTCATGGAAAAAAGAACCAACTCAATTTGTACTTTGGATTTTAAAAGAAATGCTAAATAATTAAATCTGTAATACAGTGGTTAGCAAACACATACATAAGAGATAAGCATTCAAAAAAATGTTCCACTTCTAAGAGGGTTTATGTATGACCCAAGGATTATCTGCACTACCCTAACTTTTTCATCCCTTCGAACTGCTTTTTTTATTTTTGGCCCTTATGTTTGCAAAAAAGTTACAAAAAAGGTCCCCGAGCATACATAAGAGACGAAATTGCAACTCTTCCCCGAGCATACATAAGAGACGAAATTGCAACTCTTTGCAACTCTTTTTACAAAAAAGTTCCTTCTGTTTTGCAAATAGAGTTGCAATTTCGTCTCTTATGTATGCTCGGGGACCTTTTTGTAAGCTTTTTGCAAACATAAGGACGAAATCTAAAAAACAATTCGAAGAAGATGAAAAAGTTAGGATAGTGCAACATATATGACTAAAATTGTAATTTACTCTTTAACAGAATCCACAAAAAGATATGACACATGAATAGAAAGCAATCCTTTATGGTGCACCACACAAAAATCACATTATCTAGTTTTATCACATATGGTCTAAGTTTATACTCAATACACAGTCACCGTAAACTACTGAGAAACTTGTTAATCACAAATAAGAACACAACATAACTCACTGCAAGCACGCTCAGACTTCATAGGTTCAAAATGGATAATAGGTGCTTACGATAATAAATAATAAGCAAGAATGATAATAACTGCTTCTACACGAGCAANTTTAGCAAAAAAAAAAAAAAGAAAAAAACAAAGAACTTACGATACAAAACCATTGTTATCTATGTCAGCTGCAAGAAACTGGGCCACAGTCATATCTTGACCAAGCACCCATTTCGCCATCATTCGGTGACGCTTATCAACTCTTGCCTCGGCTAAGTACAGAAAAGCCCTAGCAACAGCAAGTGTAGACACGAGCAGCCAAATAGAAGCAAAAATTCGTCCGGGCAAGGAAGTGAATGCCCTGTCACCATATCCAACTGTGGTGACCGACATAACCGAGAGATAGAAAGAATCTAACCAATCCAAGCTCTCGATAAAATGCATTACAGAAGCCCCAACTCCAATACAAAGAACCACAACACCCAAAGCTAAGGCAACTTTCATTCGAATCCTCATTCTCCCTTTCTTCACATCAAATATGTAAGAACCCTGTTCACGAGCTCCCCTACCCTTAATACTCTTCAACAGATAACTCTCTTGCAAGTCGAGCATGTAACTAACCATACCACTCAGCAAGATATCGATAAAACCGAAACCCACGAGGACAAATGTGATGGAGAACAACTTAGTGGCCGTGCTAGATGGAGTTATGTCACCATAACCGATTGTACACATAGTCACAATGCAAAAGTACAGAGCATCAACTACAGGGTGAGTTTGGCTTGCTTTGAAATTATCTTCATTCAGAGAGTATATAACCACACCAAGACTTAAATAAACGATCAATAGAACAATGCCTTGCCTCACGATCGAAGTCTTACCGAGCTGGGGAGGTTTTGCATCAGAACAATGGTCGATTTCGTTGATTGTGGCCATGGCAGGCGCGGTTTTGGATCTGTGGAGATTGCTTTTGGAGAGTGGATAATTGGGGTCGAGCAGCCAAGACTGTTGGCTTTCCGGTTCGATATTATTCGATTTCGACCCATCGCCTTCGATAGCAACTGTTGAAGATAGTGGGGTTATGCGGCTAAGTGCTAGGGCTTCGAGGAGATTTGTGGAAGAATCTTTGAGAAAGGAGGATGAAGAAGAAGAAGAAGAAGAAGAAGGGGAGCCGAAAATGAGCATGTCCTTGACTTCCCTTGATGTAGGGGTGATGGGCGGGGGCGGAATGGTAATCTCATCGTGTTCGGGTAGAGGGCAGAGTGACGGAGGCGGGAGTGACGGCGTGATTTGGGGTTTTCTCTGGTAAGCGAGGAGTGGCTCTTTCTCCATGGAGGATTCGATTCGAACGAAGAAAGAGAGAAGGAGCTTTTTAACGGAGGCGGGTTCGTCGGAGAAGCTGGGATTTTCCGGTGATGGCGCTGGTGGTGTGGAAATCGTGCGCCGGGGGTTTACAGTGGGGTGCTAATGGGCGGTTTTTCCGATGCCGGCGTCAGTTAAAAAATGCGACTGTGGAAACTAAAACTTCCGGCGTGATTTTCTTTTTTTTTGGCAAAATCCAATTTTTTAAAGGTGTTATTTTTTGTGTTTTGAGGTGGTTTTGAAAATGGAGGATTGCGCCGGAAAATGAAGAGAACGTGTGGAGGTTTCTTTGGGCAGTGCAGAAGAAGAAGAGACAAAAAAAACAACAATTAATGAATTTCCAGATTATTTTTTCTTTTTTCTTTTCGATGCAATCATAAATGAAATGCAATTTTTAAATTAAATTCCCGAGGAAATTATTGATTGGAAAAGAAAATATATTTTTTCACTTTTTTTTTTCTTTAAAAAAGTCTCTTTTACTTTCGGATTTTCATGTTTAATAAATCTGAGATAATAATACAGGTAAAATTTTTATAGCCTTTTAATAAGTTTTATTTCCTCTGAAAATATTAAAATTATGAAACATCTGTTGCTATAAATATTATTATTACTACCTCAGACAGCAAGATCCCCGGTTGACTCACTGTTCCCATAAATTACCTCCAAATAAATAAAGTGTTGGGATAAAGACAAATCACGCTACCCAAGAGCACGTGGGTGAGATGGTTGGGGTCTCTCCCAGCTTAACCAGAGGTCTCGAGTTCGAGCCCTGGGAATGCAGCTGTGTTAAAATTCTTGAGGTAGAACTTTGCCGCCCTTGTGGTCCTACCCGGCTCGATTCCGGATTAGTCGGTCCCCTCAGGGATTCGGAAACCGGAAGGTTCATTGTACCAAAAAAAAAAAAGACAAATCACGCTTAATCACCTATGCCGTTACAAAATCTATACTTATATAATAAGAATTAACCTTTTTCAAAATTAGTAGGTCAATTCTTAGTCAACATCCTGTCTGCATTAAATGTTTACTAAAATTAGTAACTTTTATTTCCTTTTCACACTTTTTTTTTATGTCCTTTTCACACTAGATTATATAAATGAACGGATATTATCTCACCTTTCATTAATCTCACCTATAATTCATATGAATTGATTGATTGCCTTTAACTTTTCAAAACGTGTGCTAACCATTGTTTATTACTATTATTATTATAGTATGCACGTAATCAGTTGATTAAATAAATTATATATTATTATTATTATACTCACCACGTCACAGTTAATTAAAATATATCTATACTTATATTAAAAGGTATACCATTTACCAGATCTATATATATATAATAAGAATTAACATTTTTCAAAAATAGTAAGCAAAAAAATAAAAAATATTAATTGCATTCCATTTTTGGTATGTTTTTTTTAATTTTTTTAATAAAAAATCAAGTAGCATTTAATGCTAGCACAAATCATGGGATTTGTTATATAGATGCATATTTGAATTTCAAACTTCAAACAAAACATGTCTAAATGTATTTTGAATGTTTTAGGGAAAAAATTTAACAAACACGTTAGAGATGTCATACAATACATATATTTATATATATTATCTTAACATATAGGTTAATTAGTTTCATATCTAAACAATATATATTTAAACAATATATAAACAAATATAATAATTTATCGTACAATACAGACAAATATATAAACAATATATTTATATACAAATATAATAAACAAATATAATAAACAATACAAACAAATATACAAACAATATATAAACAAATATAAGAACTTGTCACGTGTATATTTCGTACAATACATATATTTGTGTATATTATCTTAACATATAAGTTAATTAGTTTTATATCTAAACAATATATATTTTAGGAACTTAAAGATTCATAACATTACTGACGTCATGTATATTTATAATATATTGTCACGTACATTTTACTACAATTGGTAACTTATTTAAAATTATTTGAATAACTGAAGGTTGATTTGTAATTTGAATTTCAAATTCATTCAAACATTTAAAGGAAAATATTATAAGAAGATTTTTTTGATACATTTCATTTTATCTCAACTTACATATAATCACGTTCCTACCTAACATTAAATTTGCTTATATCTTTTTAAATTAATTACATCACTAAATAATATTAATATACATTACATATTTATCATTATATAACAAATATATTACTTCTACAAGTGTTATAAATAATAATGACATTATATGATAATAGATTTTTTAATAGATTAACAATTGAGTATTATGATGAACCAAAATATGTAAAATTATTTTTTTAGGCCTTAACTGACAAGTCCTATTGTCCACTCATTTAATATCTCGATAAAAAAGATGACGTTGATGAAAGAGGTAAAAAAATAGATGATCAAACTCTATTACTTTTTTAGGCCTTAATTGACAAGCCCTATTGTCCACTCATTTAATATCTCCCGTGAATCACACGAGCTACTTAACAGACAAACTCTGTGGAAATGACTCATTTAATATTTATGTCCCGTGCATCGCACGGGCTACATACTAGTTCTTTTATTAACTAGTTTGACAAAATCACACAAAACCATTTTACTGTTTGAAATAATAACACTACCAAAAGTTTATTATATCAAAGTAAGCCATCAGCATATAAATTCAGAGCATCAAAATTTTGGGAATCCTTCATCTAAGTAAGTCAATTATGAGTGATAGGGACACGTTCAATATTATCTTAATAGACATTAATATTCAACTTCATGATTTAGGGGTTCTTCAATGTCTAACCCACTAGTTATGTACAGACAACACAAATTGTTTTTCAGAGTTTAATGTTTCAATTTAAAAATATGCAAAGTTCTTGAAAAAAAATATATGATTGTCAGTT